AAAGATTATACAGAAGGACCACCTGGAAGTTGTGGTCTGGACACAGACGCATGTATGCACACACATGCGTGCACATACATACCACCCACTGAGGGAGAGGGAGATGGGGGGACCACCTGTGCAGTTGATAAAACTTTGCAAATAAAACAGACTCTGACAACGAGAGATTCTGAAGAGGAGTGCCAAATCATTACTAAATCAGTGTCTCAGCAAAAAAAAATAGTGAGAGGGTCACTCTGTGGTCAAATTCACAGTCTTGGCTATTTATGGTTCTGAAAAGTAAACAATGACTTCTCAGGTGTTGGATTTACACCGGGATTTTCTCCTCGGTTGCTCCTACAACAGCAAACAGATGTCTGCACGGCTCAAATTGTGTTGATTTTGGTTCTTATTTCCTCTTTTGCCACTGATACCGTTCCAGTCACAGTGGCAAACATGGGGAGATTCAAGTTCAAAGGCCCATTCTTGGAAATGCTCAAATTTTTTAAAATGTGCATTTTAAGGCCACAGGCCGGTGGCTTTTTCCGTTCATGCCTCCGAAAAGCTGGAGGCATCTGAGGAATAATCCTGTGGGAAATTGGAATGGCGAGGGAGAGAAACCATTGCCCGTCTCTTACACGGGCCCCTCTTGTGCCCGGTAAAAAAGGACATCCAAAATACATATATATATAATGGAGCTGGAAGGGGCTCATAAGGCCATCATGTCCAACCTCTGCTCAGTGCAGGAATCCATGTAAAAAAGGACATCCAAAATACATACAGTGGTGCCTCGCATAGCGAGGTTAATCCATTCCGGATTAACCTTCGCTATGCTGAAGCATCGCTGATCGGGGCAGCGATTTCCATTGGAACGCATTAAACATCGTTTAATGCGTTCCAAATAGGCCAAATACTCACCATTCAGCGAAGCTTCAGGATGGCCGGCAGCCATTTTCGCGCCCTCGCCTCGCTTAACGAGGGCGCGAAAACGCTGCGCGCGGCCATTTTAGGCCATTTCCCGGCTTCCGGCGGCCATTTTGGCCGCCGAACAGCTGATCGGCGGGGGTCGTTTTGCGAAGATCGGTAAGCGAAACGCTTACCGGTCTTCGCAAAGCGAATTTTTCCCTATTGGAACAACGTTGTGCAATCGCATTAGCGATCCGAAAAAACGGATCGCTATGCAATTTAATCGTTATACAGTGCGCTCGTCAAGCAAGGCACCACTGTATATATATATAATGGAGCTGGAAAGGGCTCATAAGGCCATCGTGTCCAACCTCTGCTCAGTGCAGGAATCCAAATCAAAGTCAATCTGCCAGAGGGGTTTTCCAATCATCTCACAAATGCTTCCAGGACTCAGGAACCATTTGGGGGTCAAACACACCTCTGACACAAAAAACAGTGCCATTCCATATAAAGATAATTCAGGAACGAAGGGGCTGCCACAGTGCTCGGGTTGAGACGGTGCATTGTTCCCTTTGAATGCAGCACCCTGAGGTGCACCAGCACCTTCTCCCGGTGGCCCATACAATGTGTGAACTTAATAATACAGAATAATAATAATCATCTTCGAATTCCAGAGCTGGAAGGCACTCTTTTGGATCATCAAGGAGGCCTCAGCGGGGAATCGAACTCCCAACTTCGGACTCCTCAGCCAGAGACCTAAACCGCTGATGAACTCCAAACTTCGGAGTCCTCAGTCAGAGACCTAAACCGCTGAGCCATCCAATAGGTTTCGCTAGTTATAAGGATAAAATTTAAAAAGTGGGAAATGGCAGGAGTGGGCCCTTTAAGGAAGAATATTTTTAACTTGTAGGACCACACACCACAAATTGCAAGGGTCAACCAATACTTCCTGCTCGCTAATGAGAGATGGGATAATCTGGACATCTGTTTTTGCTGGACACATATTCCCTCTCTCTCCTGTTGCACTGAAGAAATATTTGAGTTCTCAAAATAGGGATTTCCCTCCCTCGTTCCCAGATGAGGTTTCGCTAGTTATAAGGATAAATTTTTAACAGTGGGAAATGGCAGAAGAGGGGCCCTTTAAGGAAGAATATCTTTAACTTGTAGGACCACACACCACAAATTGCAAGGGTCAACCAATACTTCCTGCTCGCTAATGAGAGATGGGATAATCTGGACATCTGTTTTTGCTGGACACATATTCCCTCTCTCTCCTGTTGCACTGAAGAAATATTTGAGTTCTCAAAATAGGGATTTCCCTCCCTCGTTCCCAGATGAGATTCCCCCACGGTTACAGTAAAACCGCAATAAGAAGGGTTTGTAATCCATGACTACGGCAACAGCCACACAATCCTAAATGCAGCACAGACTTGAGGGAAAGCCAACATGAATTACGTTTCTTCACATCTCCTGATCCAACTCTGTCTGGCTTGACCCACAGAAGGCGGTAGCAAGACGCCATAGCCTCACCCCAGTTTTGCACCTCTGATCTCCTGTGTGAAGCAGAAAACTGATCCATCTCCCGAGGCTGCCCCCACCTTACAACTTGCTTCAGACGACTACAGACCCGGGTGGCTTTGGACACTTCACAATCTACTCTTAGTCTTAGAATCATAGAAATGATGGAGTTGGAAGGGACCTACAAGGCCATCCAGTCCAACCCCCTGCTCAAAGTAGATCTGACGGATGTTGGTCCAGTATTATTGATCTCTTGTGTTAGAGAAGCATAATTTCCTTCAAACGGCTCCACCACGTTTCACCTTGCTTTTATCTAGTGATGGGGGCTCCTAATATTGGATTGACATCCCATGTTTGAGCTTAGCTCCTCCATGAGATCCTTCATTTCTAGATGAGACGGATACTAAACCTCTAGGGTCACGGTGGAGAACCTTCCCTTTAATTAACCCTTATCAGTGGTGTTGTTTATCCTTTGCCTCTTGGTCAGGAGGATATCTCTGTTTTTAGAGGCAGAATGCTACCGACGTGCCCAAGGGATTCTAGGAGGTTGTGGTCCAAAACAGCACGTTTTCAAAAAAACCCTGTACAGTCGTGCCCCACTGGACGATTACCCTGCTCTACAACGAATCTGCTTTACGTTGACGTTTTTGCGATCGCTTTTACGATCGCAAAACGATGTTTTAAATGGGTTTTTTTTCGCTGTGCGATGATCGGTTCCTTGCTTTGGGAACCGATTTTCACTTTACGACGATCAGCAAACAGCTGATCGCCGGGTTTCAAAATGGCCGCCGGCTGAAGAAAATGGCCCTCCGCTGTTTTCTAGGACGGATTCCTCGCTTTACGGGCACCGAAAATGGCTGCCGTATGGAGGATCTTTCCTGGACGAGCAGATATTCAGCCCACTGGAACGCATTGAACGGTTTTCAATGCGTTTCAATGGATTTTTTATTTTGTTTGACGACGTTTTTGCTCTACAGCGATTTCGCTGGAATGAATTAACGTTGTCAAGTGAGGCACCACTGTATTCTGTCTGACCCATCAAGGTCCTGGAGGCCAAACCAACAGAACTGCCACATCTTAGCTTAGTTTACAAACTTGGTTCTGGGAAGCCCAACTCTTCTCTTGTTTACCCATTTATGATCCAGAGTATAATAACTATGTCTGTTAACATGGCTAATTAGGAATGGGGTTACTATTTTTACTTCAAAGAACCACCCACGTGGCTATCAAAAACCAGCCCACTCATGGGCTAAAAATAAACACTGGAATTCTTCACGAAAGCATCTTTAAACTGCCACTCAGTTATCATTTGGAGCCGGCCCGGCA